AGGTATGGAAATTGGTTGATTTGGAATAGCAAGAATGGGGAACTAGGTCCCACCATTTGACATCTCTCTAAAAGCAAAAGAAGTCCTCTGATGTCAATGTTCCTGTGTCCCCAAAATGATTTGTTACGCCAATGCTTTCTGTCTGTCAGACCACACAGGTAAAGATAGGTGGCAGAAGACGACAAAATCTAGCACACCTTCCCAGAAAGCACTTGAGTGTTTCACTTCTCTTGTGCAAAACAAGTATTTCATGAAATGGGATTGTATTCTAAAAAAGAACCCTGCAAAGACACAAACAAGCAAACAAAATGAAAGTCAACAAAATCCCCAAACTGTGTCACTATTGACTGCTATAGTCACCAGCCACCATGCAGAGATCACTATTTTTTCAGAATTCACATTTCATGTGACTATCACCGAATAAATAATCCAAACAGTGTAAGCAGAGCCCAGCACCCTTTCCTCCCCCCACAGACCCCCCCCACCCCCACCTAAATGACAACACTTGGAAAGAAACCTGCAAGTCTCATTGTTTGCTTCCTCCCCTGACGCCCACCCTCTCGTTTCCCCATAAGCGAACGTGAGTTGTTCTCTAACTGCACCAGAAAATCAGAATTTATTGTACATATGTTTGTGTTCCACTTAATAAAAAAACCTATATTTTAAGATAAACTTTGTTAGTAATTCATGAGGTAAGTGACTATTTATGCTAATCAGGCAGAAATATATTCTCAAGCATAATGCGTTACATAAATTTGAATGCAAAATGTTCAATTATGAAGTAAATACAGGTAATGCAAATAATAAATTACCTCTAATAAAAATTATAAAAGATGTGTCTTCAAAGAGAGCGGCTTTAACTTACAACTGTAAATTGCTTAAAGAGAAAAGAATTAATAAATGCTGAATTACTCTGATGATTACTTAGCACATAATTCACCTATTCATAACGACTCCTAGTAATCAGTCTGCTTCAGGTCCTCCAATATGAGGCAAGACTGGTTCCTCAGCAATTTTACCCTTATCAGATTATCTCATCTGATTCTATTAATTTTCTTCCATGAATCTGCTAACAGTGATTTGTGATTTACTTACCCTGCTAACTGAAGACTGTTAAAAGGATTTATCTAACATTAGACCTAAGAACAGCATATACCTTATCACTGTTACACTCAAGAACTCTTTCTCAAATCAATTTAGTTGGTCTCATAGTGAAATTTAGTGGACACTAGTTAGTTCTACACCATAAAATCACCTCCTAGATAAACAAAGAGCTCAGACAGTATTCCTGATACATCCTGTTCTCTTCGGATTATATAGGTCTGAATCCAACATGATATACTTGAGCTGCAATAACTCATAATCAAGAAGAATACATTCCTTTTAGCTTGTCCTCTTTGCAGTTTGGACATGAAGGGCTTTTCTTTTTTTCCCTTTTGCATGAAGTTGTTATGTATGCACTGACACGAAGCTACAATTGTCCTTTTGATGTTACTGTTTCTAAATCTTCTACGTGATTTGACCCATGCCCTCCTCCTCCTCGAAAATCTTCTATAAATATTCATTGGTCAATAATGACAAATGCATGGTTTCTAAATTACTGTATATTGTTCTACAGAGATGACTGGAGTATATATAAGTGAAGGGATATGAAGCAGTAAGAAAACAGAGTTCAGATTGGATTTGCATTAAATTGGCTTGGATAGAAGTGAGACAATATTAGCAAGGAAGTCTAAAGAGATGTGGCCTGCTGTAATTGTAGAAAATCAGAAACCTGAATAGTACTAATTAAAATGAGAGAGCTCAATTGTTATCAAAGAAACACCACTCACAGAGAACTGTAAATGTTTAGACACCCCTGTGAATCACTAAATAATAAAGTAAAAAGGACAAAAATGAGAATTAAGTTATAAGCCTGAGAGCACTCCTGCACCACAACTCAAAAACAAAAATTCTGATCCACTCTTTTTTCAAGAGAAAATGGGAGACCATAAAATACTGTAATAAGAGGAAGAAAAATACCATCACTTGACAGCAGTGAACAAAAATAAACCATAAAAATGTGCAGATAATAATACATTTAGCTGCCCAAACATGGGCATTTAATTTCTAGAAATGATAAATAATTGCAACAATTAGGTGTGTGGCCATGACACTGTATGGTATGGTCGTTGTCATTAGCAAATTGTGTTTATGAAATGTTGTTTATTTTTAACTGTAGCTGTTTCATTTTCCTGGCCAAAAATACTTTTTGAGAGGCAGGGATCATCTTTGAGCTCTGAACAATAAATAATGTCACGCAGAAGGATTTAAAAATTATCATAAACAAAAAATTCATCTGTGCTAAGTACACATAAACTTTGATTTTACGTGAAAAATATGAACTTCAAACATGTGTGGGTAATGATTTTGACAAAGACATAGAAAACTATTGCACAGGACAGAGCTAAACACCACAGCACTTATGTCCTTTAAGTGGGGTTTCCTCTGAGCACATAAACTGTAATCCCTTAACTTCATTACTAGGTAAAATATTGTCAAAGGGGAGGAAAGCAAAGGAAGTCTATTAGGTTGCATAAATATTGACATAATCTTCACTCTTTCTTCCCCGAACTGGGACTAGCCATAGTTCACTCCATTCCAACAAAGTACTCCTATGAACTCAAAACTACCCTTACAAACAACTTCTCTGCAGTACTAGTGAAAGAGAGAAAAGAGAGAGAGAGAGAGAGAGAGAGAGAGCTGCTTGTCTGGCAAATACCAACAGCTCTGGGCTTTTGGGATTAGGATGCCCCTACAAATCTTCTGGGGAGTATCCATTAGGGACTCCTGGGTTTGCTGAAACTGAAGGCTGCCAGGGTCAGAGAAATTAACCCAGGTCTAATATGGTGTATGAAGCCAGGAGTGACACCTAAGGTCTTGTTATAAGCAGCAAAGTATGCTATGCGGCTGCTGCGGAGTGGCTAGAACCATTGTGAAGTGCAATGTTCAAGAAGCGGGCTTAATATATGACTAAGTGTCAGAAGTCAGGTTTTCTGAGAATTACTTTCAGATAAACAACTTTATAGCACTGCACTTAATCTTACTTACTAGAGACATCTCATTTATCACTGAATTACAAGTAACTTTAATTCTATTGATATTGCCATAAAGCCCGTTGAAAATTCATCCTGGTACTTTCAAAGGGTTTAGGGCCCTGTGACATGGAATCCTTTTGCAAAAGTGTCTCCGCCGGAATGATTATCCCTAAGGCTCCACTTAAAATGAAGGCGGATAGTAGGGAAAAATGATCCCATATCTGCTAGCATTTCTTCAGCCCCTTTCCTACAAGGTTGGGTTCTCCCAATACAATGTAACTAACTTTCTGAGCCTCCTTCCTCCTCCCACATTGGGAAACTAGCTTCTTTTCACTTCAACAAAACTGGACACGGATCAATTTCAACTGACCTTTGCCGAAAGGTGGCGCTGTTGAGGTAAAAACCAGCTTGGTCCAACAATAGTTTTCACTCTTCATTCTTTTGCAGGCTTTTTAGATTTTTTTTTAAGTGCACCTTTCTAGCGTCTCCCCCTCCCATAAAGTTAAAACAAAAACGATTAGCACCAAATACATTTCATTAATTGGAGGAATCAACAGTTCCAACTTCCAAGCAGGTGGGCTGGTCTTCCAATTGTGGGTCGGTCTCAGGCAGTCTTGCTTTTTCCCCCCAAATAAATCTCGGCTTCTCCGACTTGCCTATCGCTTTAAAATCTTAGAAAAAAAGTTGTTGCTTTCTTTTCGTTTCTTTTTTCTTTCTTGCTTATTTCTTTCTCTCCCCGCCCCCCTTTCCGGCACAGCTTTAAAAGAACTGATAGAGAAAAATTGAACTAATTATTGACATTTGCAACCAGGAGGGGGAACAGCCCCACCCCACCCCCCACTCTGGGTTTCCGGGCTTGTCCGAGAAAAAGCGGTTTAAAAGTTAACCCTTGGAGGGGAGCTAGTGATGGCTGGGTATTGTTTTCGTCCTGGTTCCCTACCACGATCAAGTCCGAAATAATTAAGTGAATTTTAAAAGTGCAAAGGGCGCTCGGGACCCTGATAAACAGGGGGTCAGACTTCATAGGGGATGGCGAGCGTGTGTATGAGAGAGAGAGAGAGAGAGAGAGAGGCCAAACTCGGGCTAGAGTTGGGAGCTGGAGGGCTGACCTGACTCTGAGCTGTGCCCGGAATTAACTCGCTCGCAGCCCCCCCCAAGGGCACGCGACGCCGGTGAGCAGCTAATGCCTGCACGGAATGGCCACAAACGACTTATTTCACCTCCTTTAAAAGTGGGTGATTAATTGGGCCTTTTTTCTCTGCAGACTCCACGCTGCCAGGAGAGACGCACCACCGCGGGGCTGTGTCTCGCGCTCTGTCCCTGTCCCGACCCCCTCACTCCGCGTGTCTCCACCAGCGCAGCGCACCCGGGAGGACAAAGGGTTGGGCCAAGTTTGAGCCTAGGGCGCACCAAGCTCGGGGAGAGAAAGTCCCCTGGCAGACACCTGGGGTGCCGAAGGTGGAGCGAAGAGGGAAAGCTGCAAGGCGAATTCACAATCCCGGGGTGGGAGGCAGACAGTGGAGGGGAGTCGGGCCAATCCCCGCAGAGCGAGTGGCGGGAGAGCTGGGGCTCCGGAAGGAAGGCAGGCCTGTTTCACGCTCCGAAGAAAAGCAAACTGTCCTCCCGGGTCCGCCCGGATTCCAGCCGCCCCTCTGGAAAACTCCTTCCCCTCTTGCACTAAACTTTGCACGGGGCCTCGCTCCCTCTCTCCCCGGGAGCTGCGGCGCAGGAAGGGTTAAGCCAGCCGGTCCCAGCTGACAGTCAGCTGATTGGGCCCTGATTGACAGCTCCAAAAAGTTTCCTTGTTTCTATACTATTATGCTAATAGCGGCCGCTCTCGCCACCTCTCATTGGCCGGGAGTGCCAGTCAATTTCCCATTTGGGCCTGACGTCACGAGTGCTATAAAACTCAGCAATTGCTTTAAACTCTTCTTGCTGGATCAGAGGCTTTAAAATCTTTTTTCATCTTCGAGCTGTAGCTCCGGCTGCTCATCGGCTCGGCCTCCCCCTTCCCTTTGCTCTCTGCCTCGCCTTTCCCCGGGACTTTGCTATTTTGCTTTAAAAAAAAAAAAAAAACAGGCAAGAAAGAACTAAAGTCCCCCCTCCCTGTTCTCCAGCCGGCCTGCACCTCTGTCTTGCACTTTGCACGGAGGGAGCGACAGAGGAAAGAGAAAAAAATAATAATAATAAAAAGAGCCAGGCAGAAGAGGAGGCGAGAAGCATGAAGTGTTAACTCCTCCGTGCCAAGGCCCGCGCCACCCGGACAGCCGCCCGCCGCGCCTCCAGCCCCAAGCGGCCGCCGCGCGCGCCCCGCCTGCAGCCCGGCCGGCGAGTCGAGCCCTCCTTATGCAAAGCGCGCAGCGGAGCGGCGAGCGGGGGACGCCGCGCACCAGGCCGGGCTCCTCCGGCTTCGCCGCCGCCGCCACCGCCACCGCAGCCCGCGGAGGACCTTCCCGAGCCTGAAGCCGCCGGCTCGGCGCGCACGGAGGCGAGCAGGCGAGGAGGGGCCGGGGCGAGCGAGCGAGCACATTGGCGTGAGCCGGGGGGAGGGAGGGCGGGCGCGGGGGGCGCGGGCAGGGCGGGGGGGTGTGTGCGCGCTCGGAGGTTTCGGGCCAGCCACCGCCGCACGAGCTAGAAGCGCCCCAGCCCGGCAAGCTGGCTCACCCGCTGGCCACCCAGCACAGCCCGCTGGCCCCTCTCCTGCAGCCCATCTGGCGGAGCGGCGGCGGCGGCGGCAGCGGCAGGAGAATGGCATCAGAACTGGCAATGAGCAACTCCGACCTGCCCACCAGTCCCCTGGCCATGGAATATGTTAATGACTTCGATCTGATGAAGTTTGAAGTGAAAAAGGAACCGGTGGAGACCGACCGCATCATCAGCCAGTGCGGCCGTCTCATCGCCGGGGGCTCGCTGTCCTCCACCCCCATGAGCACGCCGTGCAGCTCGGTGCCCCCTTCCCCCAGCTTCTCGGCGCCCAGCCCGGGCTCGGGCAGCGAGCAGAAGGCGCACCTGGAAGACTACTACTGGATGACCGGCTATCCGCAGCAGCTGAACCCCGAGGCGCTGGGCTTCAGCCCCGAGGACGCGGTCGAGGCGCTCATCAGCAACAGCCACCAGCTCCAGGGCGGCTTCGATGGCTACGCGCGCGGGGCGCAGCAGCTGGCCGCAGCGGCCGGGGCCGGCGCCGGCGCCTCCCTGGGCGGCAGCGGCGAGGAGATGGGCCCCGCCGCCGCCGTGGTGTCCGCCGTGATCGCCGCGGCCGCCGCGCAGAGCGGTGCGGGCCCGCACTACCACCACCACCACCACCACGCCGCCGGCCACCACCACCACCCGACGGCCGGCGCGCCCGGCGCCGCGGGCAGCGCGTCCGCCTCGGCCGGCGGCACGGGCGGCGCGGGCGGCGGTGGCCCGGCCAGCGCCGGGGCGGCGGCGGCGGCGGAGGCGGCGGCGGCGGGGGCGCGGCGGGGGCGGGGGGCGCTCTGCACCCGCACCACGCCACCGGCGGCCTGCACTTCGACGACCGCTTCTCCGATGAGCAGCTGGTGACCATGTCGGTGCGCGAGCTGAACCGGCAGCTGCGCGGGGTCAGCAAGGAGGAGGTGATCCGGCTGAAGCAGAAGAGGCGGACCCTGAAAAACCGCGGCTATGCCCAGTCCTGCCGCTTCAAGAGGGTGCAGCAGAGACACGTCCTGGAGTCCGAGAAGAACCAGCTGCTGCAGCAGGTCGACCACCTCAAGCAGGAGATCTCCCGGCTGGTGCGCGAAAGGGACGCGTACAAGGAGAAATACGAGAAGTTGGTGAGCAGCGGCTTCCGAGAAAACGGCTCCAGCAGCGACAACCCGTCCTCTCCCGAGTTTTTCATGTGAGTCTGACACGCGATCCCAGCTAGCCACCTTGATAAGTGCTCCGTGGGGGTCCGGCTCGGGTGTGGGCTTGCTAGTTGCACAGCCACACTTGCCACCACCTCGCCCCCTCCCTGCCGAGGTCGCCCCCTTGGCCCCCTACACACACACACACACACACACACACACACTGCTCCGAGTTCGTGGTGGCGGTGGCTGTTTTAAGTTGGGGAGGGACTGGGGGTCTGGCTCATGGATTGCCAATCTGCAATTCCCCATAACTTGCTAGCTTGTTTTTTTACACACCAACCCCTCCGGACTTACACAATGGTCAAAGATCCCAGGAGAGTGCTTCATGTGAACATTGCTCACCTTTGGAGTCAGCCTCATTCGCATATATTTTTTTTTTCTTCTTTTTCTTCAGTTCATGAGCTGGTGTTCATTTTCTCTGTGTGTGTGTGTGTTTCATTTTGTTTGGATTTTTTTTCTTCATTTTACCTTTTGGAGCTTGCTGTGTTGCCAACCTTCACCCTCACTCCCTCTCCACCCATCTTCTCCAAGATAAAAGAAAAAAAAAAAGCAGGTTTTTTTCTCCTCCTGAGTTCTTCATGTGAGATTGAGCTTGCAAAAGAAAAAAAAAATGTGAAATGTTATAGACTTGCAGCGTGCTGAGTTCCATCGGGTTTTTTTTTTAGCATTGTTATGCTAAAGTAGAGAAAAAAATCCTCACGAACCCACCACAATCAAGCTTTCATCAACTTTCTGGGTGTGACTTGTGAGTTTTGGCCTTCTGATGCCAAATCTGAGAGTTCAGTCTGCCATTGAAAAACTCATTCTCATCTCATGCATTAGTTTGCTTGCTACCTTGTCTTAGCAACAATGGACTATAACTGTTTCAAAGACTTTATGGAAAAGAGACATTATAGTAATTAAAAAGCCTGCATGCTGGACATGTATGGTATAATTATTTTTTTCTTTTTGTTTCCCTTTTGGCTTGGAAATGGACGTTCGAAGACGTAGAGCATGGCATTCATACTTTTCTTTTACTGCCTCATGACTTTTTTGAGTTCAGAACAAAATAAAGTGCAACCCTAGATCCTTCTCCCCATGAAAGTGTGCATCTGCTCCCAAACTGCTTTGAGTTCTGCAGAACTTCAGCCTCCTCTGTAAATGCACTCAAGGCATTCCTTGTCAAAGATGCTAGAATGGGTTACAAATTTAACATGGTGAATATTGCAGAACTCTTATTAATACTTTCTTTTTTAATAAGAAGGATGCCCCACTTTTGGGGACTTAAATCGTGCTGTTGCTGAAAGCAGTCTAAAATTTATTTAAAAAAAAAAAGAAAAGAAAGGAAATCTGCCCCATTATTTTTTGGTTTGTTTTATTTTTCTTGTTTTTTTTTTTTTTGGCTTTTGGTCATTGTCAAATGTGGAATGCTATGGGTTTCTAGTATATAATTTAATTCTAGTTTTTATAATCTGTTAGCCCAGTTAAAATGTATGCTACAGATAAAGGAATGTTATAGATACATTTGAAAGAGTTAGGTCTGTGTAGGCGTAGATTTTTTTAAAGACTGATGCACTAAATTGTCTACTGTTGTGATGTTAAGGGGGGTAGCGTTTGCAAGGGGACTGTTAAAAAAGTAGATTATAAAGCATGTGCTTGCAACTTAAATATAAGTTGGGTATGTGTAGTTTTTGCTATACCACTGACTGTATTGAAAACCAAAGTATTAAAAGGGGAAACACCCCTGTTTATATCTGTAGGGGTATTTTACATTCAAAATGTATGTTTTTTTTTCAAAATTAAAGTATTTGGGACTGAATTGCACTAAGACATAACCTGCAAGCATATAATACAAAAAAATTGCAAAACTGTTTAGAACGCTAATAAAATTTATGCAGTTATAAAATGGCATTACTGCACAGTTTTAACACGATGCAGATTTTTTTACAGTTGTATTGTGGTGCAGAACTGGATTTTCTGTAACTTAAAAAAAATCCACAGTTTTAAAGGCAATAATCAGTAAATGTTATTTTCAGGGACTGACATCCTGTCTTTAAAAAAAATGAAAAGTAAATCTTACCACAATAAATATAAAAAAATCTTGTCAGTTACTTTTCTTTTACATATTTTGCTGTGCAAAATTGTTTTATATCTTGAGTTACTAACTAACCATGCGTGATGTTCCTATGTGCTTTTCTTTCATTTTCAATTCTGGTTATATCAAGAGAAAGAATAATCTACAATAATAAACTGCATTTTTTTGATTCTGTACTCAGTTTCTTAGTGTACAGTTTAACTGGGCCCAACAACTGCATGAGAAGTACAAAATGCATCCTTTTCTCCAGTAGACGGGAGGAGGAGGGAAGCAATAACTCAGGGTGAAATTATAGGCTCTTGTGTGAGGCAAAGAGGCTGGTCCCCGATAGTAATTAGTAATACTTAATATAGACATAAATTATGACCTATTTTTTTTGTCCCCAAAGTTTTCAGTTTTCAAATGAGTTGGGCCATCTTTGTCCTTTGGTGAAAACAAAAAAGAAAAACAAGAAAACAAAAAAGTAGAACATAGCCCTTAGTTTCTCTGACCCAGGGACAAATCCATCTAGAGAAAGAGGAACCAGCAAATATGACCCAGCAGAGATGGCTGGCCACATATGCATTTAATGGTAAAGACAAACAGTTCTTGCCTTTTGGCTAAAATTGATTATTTTTCCTTCCTCCCTTATACGCCATGATTTTCTTGTTAGCAAGGCCTGACAAGACTAAGCATAAACACTTTGGACAAATCAAAGTTGTTTGTTTTGTTTTGCTTTTTTTCTTTAACTTCACAGTTCATTTGTCGTAAATAGGAAAAAGAAAAGCCACCCCTTACTTGCAAAAGTGCCACCTCATAGCTGGTTTTAACTGTTATCAGATCATACTTCACTAAGAATATTCAGTGGACTGTCTCCATGTGAAACACCTTAGTCCTCCAGATATAAACAAAAATATAATGCCTTTGTAGAGTGAAGACTGTGCTTTGGTGTATTGGTTTTTACCCCAAAATAGGCTGCGGATGGGGGCTCACTTGAATATTGTTTGGAAAGATTTCAACCAGTAGAACTCTTAAGCATTGACCTATTTTAAGTTGACACAGATTCGTGCAACTAATGTTACAAATTCATGTACTTCGTAGTCTATGTCAACTTCCCTAGCAGCTAACAGAACGTTAGACAAAGCCAGTACTGTTTTGAAAATATAGCCAAACACCATGACTTTTGTTTTATTTTGTTTTCAATTCTCTAAAAAAAAAAAAAAGATAATATTGAAACTCTGAACGAGGGCCTTATTTTGAAGAACACAGGTTGGGCTTGGCTGTGATGTGTTCTGGCCGGTTTATCACCGGCCTTCCTGCCTCTCTTTCACAGAACACGAAGAAGTGTTTGCCCTTCATATTTCCACCTTCCTTTTATGTGACAGTTTGGATATGGTTCCCAAATCCACACTTAATTTTGCTTAACAAAAGTCTTCCTAGCAAATCTACTTCCCTGTGCTGGCAGTTAGCTGTCCTGGGCGTCTGAGATTTTGATTTCTCTGATCACAACCAGGGGAGCGACACATAGTCGCCCTCTGAAGATACAGAAATAGGTCTGCCACTTTTACAAATGGAGGCAAACAGCTCAAAATAAGAAGGACATTCAAGACAGTTATTGCAGTGATTTTGTGAAGACCGGGACCTGGGTTTGGAAATACAAAAACTCCAGCTATGCAGCAATTAAGCATCTTGCTGGAATTCCACAAGACAATTCAATAGCAAAGGCCAGTTTAGCACCCCCAACACCCCCAACATTAGAAAATAAAGCAGAGAAGTGTCGTTAAGGGTGGACTTTCAGGGAAGGTTAACTTGTACTGAAAGCTACTCTCGGAATAGTAACTATTAAAAACTGTGGAAAATTGTGGCAGACACCAATAATTTTTATTTTTTAAGAACTAAGTACTCCCCAGGTACCCCTTTATTATAAATAAGTCTGTAAATTAAAAAACAAAGGAAATCTAGCCTTTCCCTTTATACTGCATTTGAGTCTTTGTCTAAATAGTGTTAAAATTCCTCTCATTCCAATTACAGAACTGAGTCTGCTCACTTGAAAGTTGGAGCCATCAGTAGGACATACCACATCTTGGAAGCCCCAGCAACGTGTCCTTACCAGTGTATTTCCAAAATGAAATTTATATGAGAGCTATACATTTTAAAATATTATTTTTTTATGATTAGTTTTAGAGGGCAATTTACCACTGACTTCTAGTTAGTCTTTCTCTTACAGAAAAATTACTGTGTTACAGAAAGCTGTCAAATGTATAACCCCTGTCCTCTTCTCGAAGGGTCTTATGTGCAGGCACATAGGAAGGGGCAGGTGTCTTTTGGATGTACGGTTTGCTCAACCGAACAGGTGTGATTGTTTTCAACCTGGAATATTAGTTTTAAAAATCCCCTGAAATTACAAGTACACGTCTAGGTACACACATACAAATAGAGAACAATTTCTGAAAGGTAGCAGCTAGCGTGTTAAAAGCATACCTAGACGTGCACATTCAAAGCAGTGAATTTTCATGCTCTGCTGTTCTCCCTGGCAGAGGATTTTGCTAAGGAAAAAATAATAATCTGATTCCTGTCCTCAAACTGACACCTCCAGTGTCAGCATTGGCAGAGTGGGACATACTAGTTTTTCACAGGCCCTAGATAATATTGTGTGTTTCTGTGATGTCAAATGGGCACTTACAGACAGCTGTAAATGAAAACAATATGTAACAAAATACATGGTTAAATATATGCCCTCTGTGTGTGCCCCCCCTTTTCTAGTCCCTGACACTCACAAAAATCACCCCCTTTTAGTTTCCCAGCTTTTTCCATGTTTCCTTTTTCAAAACCCATGTAATAGTTTTTTACAATGTATCTGGCACATTAATGTATTGACATCAAATAGACAGAGGTCTGATTTCTGCCCAGCAGATAAATCTGTTATCTAGACATCAT